GTCGCGTGCACTCCAGAGCACGCGCGCTGTCTAAGCAGCAGCCGAGACTCAAAAACACAAGAGCCCAGATATATCTACTAGACGTAATTACTAGTAATTCCCTCCACAGCAGCAGGCACGCGAGTGGACTCGGCAGCAGCGGTGACGAATCTGAACAGCAGGCCAGCAGTACCTTCTGCACGTCGGCGCTAGAAAGAAGCGCATAAATCCCTTTCTGCCGCAGCCGCAACTGCGAGAGGCGCGTGGAAGTTGCGTCGTGTGACGTATATGTAGAAGTAGAAACAGCGCAGGTCTAAGAGAGCAACGCGAGAAGGTGGACAGCAGTACAGCCACCACATATATACCACAGCACGGCCACCACCACTGCTGTGGCACCTCAGGTAGTCCTTTGTATGTAACACAAGACGTATCTTGCTGCAAAGAAACGAAAACACTCGAGGGCGCCCGCAAATACAGCATACCGCACGCTAGTAACCCACCCCGGAAAACGTGACGAGTTTGACCAGCACGCCGACAGTATTGTGTGCAAGTAGGCGCTGTGCCTCGCAGCTACTGTAAGCCAGCTCCAACGACCGGCCGGAAAGTGGTACGACACCCAGCAGTGTCGCAGCTAAGCCCAGCACCGTAGGTGTCTGCAGTTGCCAGGAAGTTCTCCAGACATTCCGCACGACAGCACATGCGTGAGGCACGCTGGCACGTCAGTGAGACGTTCCATTCCCATGTGAGCAAGCACAGCCGTGTTCCTTTGCCGCTCGAGAAGTGCTAACCGTGTAGCAGAGAGTCCTTCGCTCGGCAGAAGGGGCGTCGACGACGGCGAAAACCATTGTATGAATGATATGGTATGTCGAGCAACACGCGTATATGATATACTTGATCGTGTACCACCTGATCTGGTGAGCAGCGACGCACACGCAAATCTGTCCTGCTGTAATTCCACGCCTGCTGGCACGCTGGCAGAACTCCTGAAACATCCTTTATATGAGTTTTAGCTTCGCAGAAAGTGGATCCGGACTTGACACATAGCAAAGTGGTCTAGCAGTACGTCACCGCCGCGGTGGATAAGATAAACGAGCTTTTAGCTGTTCGCATACCCGTGAAGGATCTAGGTTTGTTGAATCGCAGTACGAGAATGATCGTCGAGGGGCGCCGGCGACGGGCTGGCGGCTGGCCTTGCTGATGGTTCGCCTGATGGCGCTGCAGCTGCTGGAGTCGCACCATCTGCTGGTTGTGTCCAGAAGCAGTCCAAGCAGTCCCAGGCCTTCACAAACGTTGCGACCCGTTCTGCAGGCAATGGACGCAGCAGAAATGGCCGGTGTCTGTGCTGGCGTGGCCCCGCCTCCCTCATGCAGTGCTCTGTAACGCTGCTGTTGAGAATTCTTCTCTTGTGCTTGATGGCGTCTCTCGTCTTCCTGCTTGTTTTCTTCCCTAGAGTTGCATGCAGCCACCCCCGTGCAACCGCCGAAAGACCGCTCATGAATAGTTTTTTCCCGCGCTTCGCGGTGTCTTTCATCTCCCTGGCTGTTTCTTTGGAACCACTGTTGACGTTTAGCCATATTCTCTCGGTACTGCACTTGCACTCGCTCTCCCGGCTGCTGCCGGTCCTGCGCAGATAGGTTGTCCTGCCGCTGCCTCCCGCGTCCCGATTCCTCTAGCTCCGGAAGGTAGGTGCCGCGTTCATAGCCTCTCTCCGGTTTCGTTTCCTGCTGGGAGGACGGCAGCAGCGCTTGGCCATGATCAGACGCAGCACCAGAAATGCAAGCGGTCCGGATATGCGCCACACAGCGATTGCAGCAGGAGAGAAGTCCGCCGTATCCCCACACTGCTAAGCGCGTAGATGGTATCAGAGGAGTCTTCTGTGTCCAGATTATTATCTCCTCCTAACCGCGAAAGGCTCCTCATACCCCGGAAGCCTTCATGCTGCTGTGACAAGTCAGTGGGTAACCTGCGCCTTCGCAGCACATTTTTCCGGTGGCTCACTGCCCTTTCCTGCGCGAACATGCCGGACGATCCAGGAGAAATAGCTCCTCCCGCCAGAATCGCGAAAGGAGTACTCAAGAGTTTTACTGTATTCAAGGGCTGATGCCACTACGCTGGCAGCGCCTATCAGTGTCTGCCCTTTGTGCCTGTATCTCGCTTTCCCGTCTGTAGCTGCCGCTGCCGTGTCTCCTGTTTCTGTATGTACCTGTCCACTGCGGTGAATAGCGCTGTCGGTTATTCCTCCAGCACCCGGTATCACCGTAGCAGAAACTACCGCGGGGTCCACCGCATGCTGCAGCTGCTGTGTGTGGCGCTACTGCTGGTGAAGGAGGGACTCCGGCTGCCGCAGCAGTACTTGCTTCTCTATTAGGATGTTTGGCGTATTCTACCGTGTGAACGCCCTGCAGGTCCTGAGTAGCGGCGGTCCTCCTCGTTGTCTGCCACACCCTCCCTGTCCTCTTGGGGGCATGCAGCGACGGATGCAGGAGATCCTCTTGTGAGCTGCTGCTGCATCACCGCGGTACCTGCCTGCAGCGCCGCGCTTGCGTAGGCTTGCCGGAAGTTGCAATGCCTTGCAGTATATCTCAGTTCTAGCAGAAAGGAAGACAGTTTACGGGAGAGCTGCCGGCCCACCAGTGCTCTCAGAGGTTTTCGCCGCCTCATAGAAGGGTAAGCAGTCTCGGGGGTAAGTACTCCCGGCGTTAAAGCGAACACGTGAGGGTCTGCTGAGTCCCGCCGCATACAACGACGTATGTAACCTCCGCCCTCGCTTGTAGGCCTGCTGCTCCACTTGCCTTGCTCCACGACACCACGCCGAGGGTCGTTGCCAGCAACTTGCCAGCGCTTCTTATTCTTCTTTGCTCCCCATCGTACAGTTGGCAATGCACGGCAAAGAACACTCACACGATTTTCTGCCACAGTGTTGTTAACCGCAGAAGCACATCTAAGGGCAGCTCGGCTTTTCGAGCCCGGGGCCCCGTTACTGCTCAATGAACTACGACCAAGAGTGCAGCTGCACAAAAGGCGGCGAACAATCCCGTAGTTTTCTTCGAATCCGCTGAAGCGCATCCTGTCGTGATGGCGGCTTCTGAAGTTGCTTGTACTGTAGGCGCCCGTGAGAGGTACCGTATCTTGCAGCTGTCTCGTGAGATGTACGTGCGGCAGCAGAGATGAACACCCGTCTGCGGGGGGACCGCCGCCGGCTGAGGCTGGCGGCGTGGCCAGGAGACACAGCAGCAGGTAGGAGTGAAGCAGCAGTACTGTGTGACGGAGCCGTGAGGCTTTCCTCGTGATGCGTTGAGGACAGCTGGGGGATTCGCAATACGTCCTCGCAGGCGCAATATGGTGAAGAACAACGTACAGCGAAAACCGCGGGCGGCTGCCGCCCTCCATGTCCCCAGAGCGTGAAACCTTCACGAGGGCGCGCTAACATATCCTTTCGGTTCCTCAGGCACGCACCTGTCGCAAGCTGTGGCGTCGTTATCGGGCCTGGAAGTCTGTAAGGCAGCCATGCTCCCATCATTGTCTGGCTGCCGCCGTGCTGGCGTCCTGTCTGTACACCTGCTGTCCCCTCCATTGCCTCGTCTTCTTATTCTGCCACACCTCTAGACCTCTGCAGGCTCCAGGAGCTATGATTCCATCTACGGGCGCCGGGCTACCTCTGACGCCGGTACTAAGCTGGTTTTTTCGGTGTCCCATAGAGTGTGTCTGGCCATAGCAAAGAGGCCTGCAGGCGTCGCTGCGCTGTACTTGTGTGTGGTCGCCATGCTCGGCAAATACTTAGACGGCGACCGCGTGTGTGCACGCCACGCCGGGGCCCCTCAACGGACGAACACGTAGGATACCTTAGCAGCGGAAGAACTCTACCCGGCTTTGACAGCAGAAACAACGCTTGTATATACCAGTGTGTGTGAGAGTGAGTGCGCTTATATTTGTACAAGCGCATGTGAAGGCCACCCTAAGCGTAACCGCACAGCGGGCGACCGTATGAAATTCTGAGGCACCAGCGAAAGATTGTTGCCCATAGCAGCTGAAAAGACATTTACAGATATGCAGGTGGATGTGTACGGGCGTGCTTCTGTGTGTATCTGCGCACGAGCACACCACAGCGGGGGCCGCTCATGAGACGGACGTATGAGACATCAGAGCGGCTGGAAAAAGATTTCGCGGCCATGCCAGCTGGAAAGACGTCTACAGGTGAGGCTGCGTGCGTGAGCGCGCTTCCGTTTGTATGTGTCTATGCTTGGGTGCTTGCGTGTTCGGAAGCCCTTCCTTGCTACGAGCAGGCGCACACACAGTGTATCAGGTGTACGGCCAGTCTCTCTAGTTCACACGTCGAACTAGGTATCAATCGAGTACCCGTAAAGCATCATTACCTGCAGTTATAGGTCCGGCTACTCCGCACGTTGGGGTCGTCGATGCCCTACAATGCTGTCCGAGGAATGCATGCAGTAGCAGACAATACTGGTAGGTAACTTCTCCACACAGCTGTAGGGATCGAATTCCTCATAGCTTATGAGGCACTATGGATGCATGTACTGACTTGAGGCGCTGCTCTCAAATTCTCCGTCTGTTTCCTTGCAAAGCGACAGAAGATAACAGTGCATGCAGTCTGTGAGCCGCCCACATGCGACTGCGTGAGAGGGAGCAGCCGCGTGTGTGCCTCAGTCCCGTCGCGCCCGTTCCTCAGAAAGTATTCCGCCCTACGAACGCCTCCAGCGAAAAAGAGGCTTGACCTCTTCACTTGTAGCCTTCGCGGGTGCGGTGGCAGTCGCGGAGGGTATGCACGTTAGCACGGCTGCACTTCGTCCCGCACATCCAAGCAGCTCCCTGTTCTTCATTTGAATGCAGAGAGCGCTTACAGCACCAAGGAGCAGTGCAGGTGTACTTGCTTCTGTTGTGTGGTGTTCTCTGATCCGATACTAAGCCGCCGACAGCGCGTAGACCATCGCAAAAAGAGTGTAGATTCTCGTACGCTTTTGCTCCTTAGCTCTTACATGTGCATCATGCCGTAAGTCAGCGCTGCTGGGCCGCGGCCGGCGAAACGTATTGGGGGACGGCAGCACAAGGAGGGGGGGGATGTACGCGGTGCAATTAAAACCTTTGATAAAGTTCCAAAAAGTGTGTAATTTTCCCCTCAGAGCCGCAGCCCATGAACACCCGTTTCGGTATTGCGATGTAACTAACCCGTCACCGGTCGGGGATCCTCGTGGTCTGTAACCTTGACAAGCGCGCGTCTGGCTAAGAATGAATGCACAGAGAGTGAACGGTGCACGAGACACAGCGTCATAGGCGTACGTGAACCATGCGAGAATGGATGGAATGCTGGGGCCTCTTTGTGGCTCTACACTGCAGAGCCTAGGGCTCTTCAGCTTTGCATGCCGCCGACTGCAATTAAAGACTATACAGGATGAAGCAAATTTGTATTTGCATTATCTACTTGGATACAGAGGTTGCTGGGTGCGCTGCACGCAGCAGGGCATTCTGAGGTAGTAATGCATGCTTTAATAATAGGATGCCCACCTCCCTAGCGCGCCGCAGGCAAGCAGTGAGGCAGCGGCCGAACATTATCAGTTCCAAGCCTCCTTTATGCCCATATCACAGTATGTTCGTCGTCAGTCAGCAAAGCATGCTTGTGACACGCGCGGCGACTCTCACAAGCAGTTCGGAAATCACAGGTACTCTGCAAAATGCTTGCCTGACGGAGGCAGTCCAGAACGCACTTCTTATGTCTTACCGTAGGCCGATGCTTGTCGACTGCATGCCACACTAACGAGCAGCGGCTGGTTCTGCTGGTCAGGAGAGGCGCTTCGCAGTTGCTGTGCAGCAGAGCCCGCCTCGGACCTCACTAGAGGGGTGTGTAGCGCTTGACTCTGCTCGCTGCTCTAGTGCTGCGCCTGTTCAGATTATCAAATTTGAAATTGCAGCCCCTGACGACGTAGCACACACGTGTTCTTGCCCCAGCGCGGCGCAGAAGCCGAAACAGCCAGTTACTTCGGGTGCGGTGGGGTGGTTCCGCTGGCGACCGGACAACGTAATACACGACTCCACTCGCTGCTCTGACGCTGCTCACGGCTCTGCGGATTATCGCTTGTATAATGCGCAGGCCGTGGCAACGTGATTGATGGACACCAGTTATTGTCCTCCTGCGGCAGAGAGGCCGAAGCATTCACTTTCGTCTGGTGTCTCGCGTGGCTGTCTCGCAGGCCCCTAGTCACGTGACTGCAGACACTGCTATAACGCTGGCCCTGTACCTGGCCATCATCGACCGTAGAATTTGCAGCGCTTGACAGGGTAATGTACAGGCGTTCCTGTCCTAGTGCGGCACAATGAGGTAGTTCGCGCTGCTGGCCCTCTTTCGTCTAGTCGTCTGATAGGAAAAAGTAACGGGCTTCCATCCGTTTGGCGGTGGTGGGGGCCTGTGACGCAGAGAGTTGCAAAGTGAAGACCACGCGTGCGGGAAACTCCTTGCTCTAGAGTTGCACGCCGAGCAGGATTACTTCAGCTCGTCGCTGGGAGAGGCGCCCCAGGGAGCAGGCTTGCGTCGACGTGGTTCACCCAGTTCAATGCTGGTGGCCCACTCCAGTGATTGCGAAAGCGCGCTGCGAAACATAGAAGGGTGCATTATATGCCGCCCTTTCGCGGGCGGGGTTTTCGGATCCGCGGGTTTGCGGCCGTCTGGGAGACTGCCACTTGTGTTGAGTATCCACTCTTTTTCAAGTGCGGCTAGAGCCGGTGTTGTTGTTCGCTGACGCCACCAAAAATTACATGACGGGATTATTTGTTGTATTTGTTGCCTGCAGTATCTCGGTAGGTCATTGTCTCTACGACTGATGACCTGATGACCGGGGGTAAATCAGTCGTCGACAACACTGCGAGCCGGGTATCATCCGATCCCCACAGCTTTGCGTTCTCGCTTACACCCATCACCGTAGAAAAGTCTCACGTTCACGTTACCTTTTGCACCTACCATCATCACAAGACACCGGTGTGCGTCGGCGTCGTTACTGCCCGTCCCTGTCTGCGCTGACACTCTAAAAATGCCACAAGGCGCCAGGCGCTTGGAGCACGCTTTCGGCATGGGATGGTGCTCTTTTTTCCGGCCCGGCCAGCATTACTGCACTACAGAGCGTGTCACGCCCACGGGACCAGCCGTTGCCAGTATGATGATCAGTGCGTCGCGTGCTGGGCGGCTCACATGCTGAGAGCGAAAAAGTGCTGTACAAAGGCATAGCGAGCCCGTTGTCGACGTGCACACCGCTCGGGGAAGGCTGCGAGTCTGCCGGCTTCAGGGCTACCTGCTAAATAGGCAGAGTCGCAACAGCCCTTCCTCTCGAAAACCCGTTCTCGTGGAGGTTCTGGTTAGTATCTTTCACTGAGTGACTGGAGGGGTGCCCACGAGGGGAGGGAAGACATATAAGCGGTGCGACGCTCGCGTGAAGCCCGGAGAAGGCCTTTTGAATGGTTTTACGCCTTTAGCGGACTGTCCGCTGGGGTACGTGCAGAAATACGAATGTCCTCGCTAGTACGCACCTGGAAAGTTGGGTGGAGCGGATGGATGCGCAGGTGGATGTTTGCTGCGGTGGGGGTCTTCCTCGGCTTGTCAGCGTGAGAGGACCGAATTGGTCAATGTCTTGTACTCCGACTGTTCTTTGCGTGGCCTCTAATTTGCTTCGAGACTCAGGCTGTAAGCCACACATAGCATGTTATGCTCGCAGTCTTCACGTGAAGCGCACGCCTGAAAAAAACTAATTCACCTTCTGGTCTGGATGGTAGTCTGTCCTTGGTAGCAAAAAACATGATTTTCTGCGACCACGCAGATGGTGACCAAAGCGCAGTCGTAAGCTTAGTGCCGCCTGCCCCTTTGGTCCGCAGTACTTTGTCACCCCACGACAAGCACGATCTCACACACAAACGCCCTAAACAGGACGCAATAGTCAGTGCCGCGCGTAGATGATATGCATGTCGCTTCGCTTTCGGCTAAATCCGTGCGGTTCAACATCTCGGCTAAAACGAACGCGTCTTAGGTACGAAAGCAGGGAGAGCACTTTGCTCTAAGATGACCTATTTGAGGCCTCTTGCGAAAATACGTACGCGCAGAGAGGCGCATTCGAAAAGCCTGGGTCTTCCGCGTCCCGCGCGTGCACTGCTGTAGGGCCCTTGCTCATTCATTTGTACCCTTCTAGTCGTTGGGCCGCTCCCTTGCTGGTCTCTGTTACCGGTTCTTGTATTCCAGTTCTCAGGATCTCAGACGTTGCCCCCGGGGACCTCGACGTAGCACCGTCGCACTCACTGGACCCGGCGCCTTCGCGGCTCCTTGGACGCGTCGACATACAACATCCCTGAAGGAACTGCCAACTTTTGCGACTCCTGTGCGGGCAGCTCTGCTCATTTTACTAGACTTGTGGTAGGTCAATTCTGCTTTCCTCGACCCGCCTGCTGCTGAGGACTGGTGGTGAGGGATTCTGTGCTTTGAATGCCTAGCGGTGTTTGGCAGTTGCCGTCTGCGCAAGGGGGAAATAGGCCGCTCGTCCTCACTTGCACCCACACCGTAACAAAGCCGTCTTTTTCATCGTCGAACACTTTGAAGCAAAACTGTGTGTTTTTCCCGGATCGTATCATCACGACGTCTTCAGAGGGAGCTGCAAAGACAAGTTTGCTGCCGCTGCCTGATCCAGCATGGGCCGTCCAGAACTTGTAACTAGATGAAGCCGCGCTAAATATATCGGTATAGGGTACAGTCCTTAAAGTGTCGCACTCGCCCATCACCACTGGATGTGCAGCAACAGTGAGATGTTGCGGAGAAGTTGACAGCTTGCGAGGGAGCTGAAGTGAGAAGGTTTCTGAGGGTCTCAAGACCTTCTCAACCACAACATTATTTTCAAGGTCCTCGTCCTGTCACAACAGAAAAGGCGGGTGCCTCCCAGCTGCCGCTGCGTATCTTCTCGAATTCACCAGCATTTGCAAGCGCGTCCTTGGAATTGTCGAGCTTTGGGTTCGCTCGTCTGCCCACCGCCAAATGGTACCTACAACTTCAGGTTCTTTACCAGGCTCTGCAGGACTGAACTGGTTCTGTGGCAGGCCGCCGAAGGTGTCATCTTCCTCCTCCAAATCCTCATCGTTTGCCTCGTCCTCAATTTCTGCATCACTACCGTCGTCCTCCAAAAGGTCAAGCGCATGAGGGTCCTCTGCGGTCTCCTCGGTAGCAGCACGCGCCTGATGCATCTGCTGAAGAGCCTGTCCTGCCGCGCTGGCGCCCGCCTGTTTAGAGGGGATAGTGCCCCTCATCCTGGAACAAGAGACGCCCGTGCTTGAGATCACGAGAAAGAGTAGCGTACAAGCTGCAAGGCACTTCCAGGAGTGCCTGTGCCAAAACAGCAGCCGAAAGGCTTCGTGGGCAGATTTGCGTGCAGTTGCAGCCATTTTGAAACACCTACTAAATACCGTAATATGCCGCACGGCAATTTCACGGACTCAACGTGTGGTGCAGCGCTTGGGCACGCCTACTAGTACGGAAGGCAGTTCCGCCGCTCTGTGCATTCAAGAAAATATATTTCTTTAGAAAACGCGAGGATGCGACAGGCTCCTTGATGACAAGATGTCACAAAAGAAGCGAAGGTACTTCGCGAAGTACGGAAAACTTGGTGTCTTTGGGCATAGCAAAAAACTGGTGTAGCAGAATACTACTACATCACGCGCGTTCAAGCCAGTCCCTGTCTACGGCACCTGGGTCCACCGCACCTGCGCTATAGCCACATGCCAACGTACAAAAGGTGCTGTCTCCCGCAAGCGTTGCGGGCGCCAGAGCCAGGCGAGGTTCAAAACCCCGAATGCGCCCGGTGCTGAGACATGCTGCCGGCCTACAAGACGAGCAACCCTTGGTGGTTCGAAAAAACAAGGGGCCTCAGGGTGCTGGACGGGCCTGTCTACCCGACAGAGACGCATCTGCTATGCGTAGCCGAACAAGATCTGCTTGTGGGTCGGCAGCGCGGTCCTCAGGAACACGTGGGTCTGCCCCGCCGAAAAAACTCCTGTCGAGTCGTTGCACGGACACACCTCAGTCGCTTGCGCCGGCCGCTACGTCTCCTACGTCGCATGGCGATATAGCCCACCAGTCCGATCTGAACGGATTGTACGCGGGGACGCATGGATCCGCGGACAGAAGACGGCTGCACTGCTCGAACTGTTGTGGCATGCGTCTGCTGACAAACACCGTGCGTCCATGTCGACCTGGAGGGCTCTGTAACGTGTGTGGGACGCTAGCCATGCTCAGGTGATACTGCTTTGGCCATGCAGGAGCGTATATCTGTATCATGGGTACCGCTTGACATCGCTCAGAGAAGCGTGGGCGGACGCCACAGTGCAGATCAAGATACATTTTTCGTCCGTGTGCACTGTAACAAAGCGAGCTGCTAGAATGCTTACCATTAGGGCTTGTCTCTTCCAGCTGTATCGCATTATGGTCCCGCCCCACACTCCACCCGTCATACGACGCGACGGATCCCTTCATAGTAGAAGTACACTACATCGGAGATCCGCGTTGCGTCCTTTCGTCTCCTCGTTTTCGTCGCTTTGGACAGCCCTCGGTCTGAAAAAGAGCCGCATTCCTGCGCTTGAGCCGCCGCACGCGTGTGCGGCTGGCGCCTGTCGGAGGTTATACAAGTATAGTGGACGATGGAGAAAATCAATTCCGTGACAGCGTGCGAGTACGACTAAGCTGGCGTGAGGTTTCAGCGTTTGTGGCCTGGCGTTGAAAAAGGAGAATCCCTCCCTACGTAGATGGATTCAGGCCGCTGCACGTACAGTGAATATGCTGTTGCGCACGAATTCAATATACCGTTACGCAATAGCTCCGAAAGTGCACTGCACGCGTATTTTTTCCGTGACGCCTTCACGTAATCTGAGCACAGTTGAGCCGCGCACGCGCCTGTAACGGTGTACGTAATTCTAGCTTTGCCCCGCCCCTCGAATCCACGAAAATGTCTCAATCGCAGCTCGCGGCGGGGCGCACGACTCCGCCCGGGCACACGCAGCCGCGCCGACTGCAGGATCAGTTCGCAGCACACAGAAAGTCGGGGAAAACAGCGTGGTGCCAAGGACATTATGACCGAAAAGAGTGTGACGGTGATGAAGCTTCGAACTCGGCAATGATGACAATATGGCTGGTGGGCAGCGTGAGCAGCGTTCGCTTTCAGCGGCTGAGACAAGTGTGTCAGTGGATACATCGATCCTACGTATCCCAGGTCTCAGTACAGATACAAGTAAGCTGTTCAACACTGTAAAGAGTCCGCCGCGGTACAGTTCAACGTAAACGGTCGCAGGCTTCGGCGACTGCCGTATCATCTGCAGAAGGGGTACCCGCACTGAAAAGGGTTGAGAGTATACGGCGGATCCCGCTGGTGTGCCGATGCTGCTGACGAATTCCTGCAACTAAAGAACACCAGAAAGCTTTTTGTTAGCGTACAACAGAGGCTATGCAGCTTTCACCTGACGATGAAGCGAGCCGATAAATCACCCACCCAGGCGCCGGACCTGATGTGCAGCTGTACTTGCACGTAAGAAGCCGTAGATGCCGGAAGCACGCTGCATGCAGGAGCATTGTGCATGAAGAGGTGCCTAGCACCAGCGAAGTGAAAAGCAGCGCATCTGCTGTGGGCTAAGCACCAGAAACGAAGAGGCCCCCGCTCTCCAGCACGTCCTGAAAACGCCTCTGGATAGTGAAGTGCGTCCTCACTTGAGAACATACTTCTGCCCTGCCAGAAGCGGTGTGGCGTGTGCGTGCTGTCAACAGGCTACGGGGGTCGACTGCACCTCCATGCCTGCTGCATTGAGGCATAGATGGGGCACGTCTGGCACCACTATAAAAACCTGCATCGCCCGGTCTGTCAAGGGCCTGCAGCCCACCGGTAAAAAGCTCTCTCCACCCAGTGTCTGCTCCGCCGCGATTACCAGATGGCAACTGATGTTGCTGATAGTCGCGGCTGCACCCTGAAACTATGACTAATGGAAGTCCGCTCTACGGATGCCACTTAGAGCCGTTGTTCTCCTGATAGTTAGCTACAGTGCACACGGTAAATTCCACTAGCCGCATGGGCCTGCTGGTACTTCCGGTCGTGTGTGACACTGCAGTTTTCAAGCTGTCGCCACTGCGTCCTAGATCACGACCCATAGCATATACCCTTCGTGTCGTCTTTCTACGTACCGCTACGTGCCAGTGCAGCCTGGTTCTGAGCAGCGGTGCTGGCACCCAGTGCTAACGAAGCATACACCACACGGCGACGGCACACAGTCTCCGACAGATTTCTGTATTCTGTCCGTACCTGTGCAAGAGTGAAAAGAAGCGGGCGTCCTGCGTATGAGGGTGTCTGTGAAACCCTGACGCCTGCCCGCTGGCGCGGTGCAGGCAGTGCGTTCTGCTCGCGCCCCCTGTCTTGAAGCAACTATGTCGATGCTTCACGGAAAATCTCTAGTCTGCGTACTTCCATGTAACCAGCCAGAGTCTAACCATCGCATGAACGTGGAACGTCGTACTCGACGGCACGGTGCTTCTGAGCAAGGGCACCTTCGCTCTTCTGGCTGCAAGCCATAAGCATGTGCGTCTGCGCGTCTTATCTCGTGCCCGTGCTTTGATTGAATCGTTTTAGATTACCTGCGTAGATCAGGCTTCTCTGAGTGATACTCACAGTATAGCTGCTGCGACGTAAAGCCCCCACGTCTATAGCAAAGTCTAGCCGCCTGTCCATAACATGCCGTACTCCTTCCCGTCGTCAGCGTGCTAAGATGTATACCGTGGCCGGTTGTTGCATCGATAGCTCGTCTGCTTCGTAGTATACATTAGCCACGAGAATGGGTCGCGTGTGTGAAGGACGAACTCGAAGAGACTGCAAGAACGTGCATCGAGGAGAGAAAAGCGGCGGTAGGCGGAGATCTCCAACAACATCAGTATCAGGACTGGCTCGTATATGGGCTTGCGCCGAATGATGTAAGTCTGCCGCAATGGACGCGAAGGATGTGCTGCGGAGACGTGCGTGTTCTCCCGTAGCGTGCATGATGATGTGCTAAGCTCTCACGCTGACCTGGGCACACATGGATCACAAATAGACTCGTTCGGACGTGTCCGCTGTGTCCTGTGCAAGGACAAGACTCGTACCGGTACGCGCGGGCGGAGCGACAGCCTTTTCTAACCATAGCAAGTTTCTAAGCTCATGAAGCTACACACTTTCAGTGGTACACGCCTAGACCGTCGCTCCGGCGTTGGTAGTTGCTACGATGGACTGGTAGTTGCGGCGCGCGGCAGCTGAGGTTCTCGAAGACCACTCTTACTAGATCTAGCGCAGGTCTAAACGAACAGAAGAAGACCTCTTGCTCGGTGCTGGAGAGTACAGCATCGTCGGCAGTCCTCTTCTTTCTCCAGTGCTGTGAGATTTGCCTCATGAAGCGCGCAAGGGCTGCACAGGCCTGCTCGCACGCATTAGGACTATAAACTGTGAAGTTCCAGCGTATGTTCGTGATAACAATCGCACACTGCGCAAGCAAGTGAAGTGTAGGTGAATGCCGAAGTTGATCGGATGTAAATTATCCGGAAAAGGCGCCGTTGCTGATGCGAGGTGACTGCAGTGAAGAACCCCCGCATGCACCAGCGAAGCTGGAGCACCACACACCGCTGCATTAGAACTAAAGTCGTAATGAGTATTTGGGCACAGGCGGGCAAGAATGTGGCCCTCTAGGGGACCCACCCGTGAAGGACTAGAATAGCAGATTCTGTTGCGCACGTTCTACTACAAGGGTGCAGCAGCGACGTACAACGCCATTCAAAGCTTTACTTGCGGGTGCTTTTTGTCACAAGATTTCTGCGCGGCGTTATGCGACGATTGAAGCGTAGTTGTGTGCACGTGCACCTGCGTGCCACTAAGCCTCTTCCAGTGGAGATATAGCTCCACGTGAATTGACGCTTGCTGCATACACTCGGCGCTTGTAAGACACGCACCCAACAGGGCGCGCACGCGCGGTCACCTGTGTGCAGAGAACGCATGGGAGGAGCAAGGTGCTCGAAAGGACGCTTTGAGAACATTATGAGCGCTCTCCATACGTGATGACTTTGCTGCCTTCAGCCGTTGCCGGCGGTCCCCCGCACCGCGTCGCGTCATCCCTGGATAGGAGCGCGTGCCAGTAAATAAACACCTGCGTGATCGCCGTTGCCTGCTTCTCCGTTTGTGCTGGAGGCAGTGGCACGGGACCTGTGTACTGTGCGATGCGTTCGCAGACCATCTTGTACTTCAGCGAAGTGGACGATTTCATACAGTGGGCTGCGTCAGAGTTTTTATTCGAGGATGTCCTGCTAAAAGAAGGTGAGATTCGGTGGAGTAACAATACTAATGTATAAGAATGCGGTTCCCTTCTTCTCCTAATCTTTCCGAACGTACGACTAAATACTATGTGCGGGCACAGACGAATGGGGATTAAGAAGTGACTACGCACTTCTGGAGACGCACAACAGAACGAGCCCTGGTCTGCGCATACTTTCGTATGAGCACAGGCGTATACTACTCGCGCACGTGTCGACGATGGTGTCTCCAGGCGAATATGGACGTACGCGCGACGGGGCGCGTGGTCCTAGCGCGTTTTGGGAGGCCTCTGTTTGCGTCGACATCAGCGGCAGACTACGCTTGCACGACTTATGCTCAGCTGCGTTGCACGAAGGAACTCGTCGTTATCTTATAGAAAGCACATGAACGTGCTTCTAAAAAACACGTATCTTACTGGATACTGTGAATCTGCGGCGGATGTCCCCGTTACAGTGCAGGACAGAGGCAATCTCGTCCTGCCAAGTTGTAAGGGGCCGTCGCGTCTGTACAAGCTTGCAGCAACCGTGTTCTATCGACGGCTTTCAAGGCGTGTGCTCATCCCTTTTCCGCTCCGGAGATTCCGCCGGCTCTAAACTGCGAATGCGAAGTAGCATCACTAATTTTTGCAAGTATTAGCGAGCAGAGGGCGCCCTTGCTTCTTGCAGTGATGGGGGCGAGGGCGGCCAAGTCTTTAGAGTTGTGCTTGACGCTCGCCTCAAGGCATGAACGGAACACACCACACGCGTGTCCACTTGTTCCCACTTGCGTGACACATGTACGCAACAGCAGGAGGTTCACCTGCAGACGCAAAGCTGCTCGACCCACATACGCACCATTCCCGTCAAGACTGCTCTCTAAAGGTGGTAGGTGGTCGAATGCTATGATAACCCAACTGCGAGATTTGCGTGTATATCATCTCTTCTTCCAGACTTCCCCCTGGCAGAAGTAGCACGTCGAGCGCTATCCGAAAAAATCGCCTTCTTGTGCAAAAATTCCGCCAAGGTGTTCTGCCGCGTAGTCTTCCACGTGAACCGCACCGCCCATGCGATGACAGCGTTCAAGTTTCCTAACGAGCAGGATGCACCAGATACCACGGATGGGGAAAATCTTCAAAGAGACCCTCTCACGGGCGTTGCTGGAAGTGACGAGCTCGCCTCTGCCGCTGCTGTAGAGGTTTTCTTTGAGGTGGACTCGGGAAGGGTCCCGTGCAGCAGCAGCATTTTTACCGAAGCAGCTAGACGAAAGGAGTACAACGGCTGCGTCGTTCACCGTGTGGTGCCCCGCGGGTGGATTCAGTTTGGTAAGCATCCCACGTTTGCTTCAGTGGGCACACACGATACGATGGCGGCCATCTCGAGCTCGTCATCAGCCACAAGAAGGGCGGTATCCACAACGCAGTTTTTTAGCAGCTGCTGCCACCAGGGTACTCGGACTCGTCCACCACGCAGTCACGGCACGGCGCACCACAAGATTTGACGAAGGCCTCTCTTGAAAACGCAGTTTTCCGACACTGTGAGGAGACGCAGCGATACTGGATATACATGTTCAAAACCCCAAAAAGTCAATGGATCCTCAGTGACTGGTACAACGCGCGCGAGCACATCACAGGGCGCCGCGGTACATTGTCCCTACGCATGAAGACCAAACCTTCAGAACTAGTATGAGCTGCAACCTTGCGCCGAAGGAGCTTGAGGCAGAAAAACAAGATCTTGTACGAGTTGGTACCACTCAGCCAGGAAACGCTTGGGCAGAGATCCCTGTAGCGTTCGTCTTACTCAGTCGGTGTTTCCGTGTCCACGGAGGGGGGTGCGTTGACAGTAATGAGGCTACAGTTCACGCTCACATGTCAGACGGTAGTCGCAGGAAACGACATGTCCCGTAATCCACCGCTCGTCTGCGTATGAAGAGTAGGCCAGCGGAAGTCTGCGTATGGACACCAGCTGGCCGTTGCGGTGTAGCACGTGTGACTTCGGCCACGATAACGTAACGCGACAGGGGGGAATTGCCAATCTGCGTTCTGTAGCGTTGTTGTGAGGTGGGTGTGTAAAATTGAAGGAGCAGCTAGTACATGCTTTCCCGCGTCTGTCGCTGGTGCTCGGCTGGGGCAAGGACGAATAAAGATGTGACAGTTAATTCCACACTACGTAGTGGAACGCAAAACAACAAAGAGCACACTCTAGGTCACGTCAGGGGCGCTCGCTTTCTAGAAAGAGTCAGCAGAACTTGTCTGTAGGCGATAAGGGTGACCCCAGTGGTGTAGCGCGGGCGACGTGTCACCGCAGGCAACGTAACGTCCACAACACGCTGGTGGGCGTTCCTACCGCTTAGCAGTAGCTGCCGGCGCGGATAAACTAAGGAAAAAGCGGAAGAAGCCTCTGTCATGTCGCCGGTGCTCTTCTAGCGCACCACGAAAGAGAGAACTGTGAGACATCGTGCAGCTCATATGCCTTCAAGAGCAGCTCCGACGCAAACCACGGTCCACCTTACGGCTATTCTGCACGGTGGCGCAGTCGCTGCTGATGCTTCTGAAAGCCATCCTCTGTCCAATGTTGGGGTTCATATCACAGTGGTTGTTCCGTGGCAGAGGGCAACAGCGCTCTAGGTCGGCGGAATTTCGCGAGTCTAGCAGTTTACAGGGACGCAGAATTGCTCACAGCGCACTCCACCGTCGCGGAACATACACAGGGATACAGGTTGATCAGCCTCCCTCCATCGCTACGCGGCTAGCGGCGCATTGCAACAACAAAAAAAGGAGCGCTTGGGTTCTGGGGTAAAAGCTACATCAGCAGACGAGTGCAGAGCGCTAGCGAGCCCCCGGAATAGCCGGTTCGTAGATACTCAATGCGACACAGTCAACCAAAGACAGTCCCAAGGGTTTCAGCTGGAATCAGCATCGCTAAAAGCGCCACTCCGTGGCCGCCTTAAGGCAAAGCTGTGTACAAATTAAGCAGCCTATGTTCCCGCTCATCCTCGTCCTGAAAAAGTACCGCCCAGACAGCAAACTCGACACAGCCCAACATTAACTATGCAGCTGGCTTCTGGATATTTGTCAGTGCATCTCCACATGGCTATGCGACCGCGCATCGTGTTTTCGCTGCCTACTTGTGCGCGCAAGTATGCGGAGCGACGATTGAACAGACCTTGCGGATGTCTCAGCAGGTTAGCGCCCGCCTCGCTGCAGCGCGTGTCTAACCTTCAGTCACTTGAGCAACTGACCGCACCTGAATTGACAGTGTTTTTGCTAACAACGGAGACAAGCGCTCCTCTGCATCAGTTGCACGAGACGCTGCAGCGGGGTACAACGTACTATTTGCGGTCAGCCTTACATGCTGCAGCAGTCCGCAAGATCGACAGTGGGCTGTTCCCTTGCGCCTGTGACCTGCAGCGAGGTCCGCTACCCGGCGGCCTCGCAGTTAGACCTGCAGACGGGCGGCGCGTGCCAGTCACTGTCAAGCCTGGATACTTTTCAGCAGCTTAGACACTCGTCCGACGACAAACACCTCTGCATTCGCGCCCTTTCTATGTGCGTCCAGGTGATTTCGTTGATGGGAGCGGCGCGCACAGCGGCGAGTGGGGACCCGTACCAGAGGAGGAAAAATTTGCGATCAAGCACGACCGCGCTGGTAAGAGTAGCCACTGCAAGCCGCTTACATCCGAGTACAGCGCTCTGCGAAACAGGTGCATGCAGGTGTGAATCTGTTGCACTGCAGGTCAGCTGTCTCTACACGAGAGGTCTACCTGCAGCAAACAGCAGTCTCGCACATGTTTCCTGCCTTACAATTCCTCATCGATCACGTCGATCATAAGACCTACTGGCTCGATCCACGACCTTTTTGTCCAACTCCAGCCGCCCGCGGGACACGAAGGGGCCTGCACCACCTTCGTCTCACTCATGATGCATTTCCAGGCTGTGAGAAGCTGTCGAACGCAAAGGCGTGGTCAGCAGCAACCCCGGCGTGCACACTTGTCCTGGACTAGCTTTTTCTCCTCTCAGACGGCAGCGCCCGGCGTCTCCGACGCTCACAGAGTTGCGCACCGTCACCCAAGATTCGTCACCCACTTACGCCGACGTGGGGTAGTCTATTGTTCGGGACGGCACCACGTAGCTCTGTATGCAGTTCCTCAGTGGGCAGAAACTCACCTCACGATGCCCAGCATAGATCCGTTCATATGCGGCGCGCTCCCACGCGCGCCGCGGCGTGTGCACATAGTCTAGCTCTAGCGTTGCATAGGGTAGCCAACGCCGCGGACGAGTGCCGCTCGCCGGTGGCTGAACAGCGGGCTGAAATGGTGTGCCGCCTTCAGGCGTGCGACGCCGTTCCGCAGAGTACCGTCTCTGCTTTTCGACGCATGACTGCTGAACTTGTGCACTCAGGAAATACCTGTTCATATTCCGCGCAGATACCAGTGTATCAGCCGCCTCAAAGTATTGCGGCTCTAGTTGCCTTTGCACGTCTTGCAAACGATGTCGGCACGCAAATGCAGTCTCTCGCTCCCTTTTTCTGCTGTGGAGCAGCGGTTCCAGCATCTGCCTGTGATTCAGAGGTGCACACATGCACCCACGCGCCTATGCTTCCCGTTGACCTGCGTACTGGAGCAACCAGAGTGAATGCTGATCCCTGAATTGTGCCTACTTAACTGGGTCAATAGCTCCGCACAGTTCCGGCGCGGCACACCACGAGATAGAAGTGGTGTAGTAGGCTTCCACGCACGCGCGGGCGCGAACCCGTCCGCTGCGCGCATTTAGAGAGACGCTCTCGGGATTTGACTGTGCGCGCCGTTTTGTCTGCAGGCATCCTTGGGATGTGTAAGTCGCGCAAAGGCGGCAGCAGCCAGTTTTACGTGACATTGCGGCCCTACCCTCAGTTCGATGGTTTTTTGGTAGCTATTGGTAAAGCCGTCAGCGGGATGCAGGAGCTTATTCGGTTTGCACAAGAAGGAGTGCCCTGCGACGTGAACCAGAGACCCCTCGAAGACTGCTTCACTATTCAGAGCGTGGAGGTTATCTCTGCTTAAGGCAGACGAAGCGGGGCCAATTGTTTGTAGGATACTGCGTGTGTTAAAGTTGGTATCCGCGATGTTTGAGACATAATAGCTCGGGGCGAGGCGCTTGCACGCCGACTGCGGTGGCATTAAGGTGGATTCTGTCGTGCAGGAGGCAACTATGCATAAAGGGCAGCTTACCTTTTCTGCACAAATATGCGTTGAAGGTGTGAACCTTGTTCCCAGGCACTCTAAGCCGCATTTAACATGAAACGGTTGCGGCACTTCAACATGGGAGACACGTGCGCACAATCGCTTGTGTACTTAGCCGCCTGTATTACGTCTCTGTCAGACAACGTACCTTGCGCTATCCTAATTGCGGAGGAGAACGGCCCGCCAGAGAAGTTTTTCGTTCGACTTGCACGTCTCGGTGAACCGTATGCAGCGTCGCTCGGGCAAAGCGACGAGTCCGCTTTGCAGCACGTTTGCATAATACACCAGTGGCAAGCCTCTGTCCACGCGCGGACCTTGCGCACGGGGTATACGTGTGCACACTGGACACGAAGGCACACGTAGACTTTCCGCAGGGGCTGTGCGAACAGAAACAAGTTCTGACGCTGCCGGGGATCCGCTCCGTTCTCTTCGAGCATCGCAGATGCATATATCTACCTCGTGGCTGCAGGGGTCCGCCTGTCGGGCGCCGCTTTCCGCTTCAATCATTTCTTCCACGCGGTTCTACAGGCCGGCAAATCCGGTTTTTGTCCGGATGAGGGCAGTGGCCATCGCAAAAAAAAAAGGACCCAGGCACATGACCATCAGCGTACTAATCCTTCCATTTTGCCGGCGTTCCTTCGGCAGATCACTGCACCCTCTGTGGAGTGCTCTGCGCGGTCGCAGCCCTCTTGCTTGCAGATTTCACGGCATCTAAATTTCACGGCATCTGTACAAATAATGGCTAGAAATGATGGTCCAGCTGTGTAGGAGGGTCCGTATGTCGTGCGCGGCGTTTCCACTAATGCTGCTCGGAGCTCTGGAGGGTCTGGACTCTTCGATTGTCGGAATGACACAACCGGCAATTGTTCACAACGGTCCCCTCTACGTTGAGGATCGCCTGCGTGTTTGTGCAGCTCAGATCCACTTCACTGCACAACACACGCCCTTGCTTCAGCCCTGCACAGAAGTCCGTGTACCGCTCGCGTCCGGACCGGTGCATGGCCGCCGCTCACCATGCTGCGTGCGGATGTGCCGTGGGCGGCACGACAGCGGATTCGCCGCCGCACGTGGGCGACATCAAAAGAGCTACACTTCTGCAATGACCGACAAGTATGGACGAAAACGTATTCTGTAGCCCGCGAGCCAGCAAGGCAAATGAAAAGATGCTGGAGATCTGCCGCGGCACGGCTCTGTAGCAGTCGTACCGTAGGAGGGTGCTGCATTCCGCGCAATGGGAAAGACACCACGCTTTTTGAGGGTGCAGTAGCCATTCTATTGTAAGGCCGCCTGTTTCCAGCCAGCGTTCAGAGGCAAGAGTCTCTTCGCCCTCTCATTAGTCCTGTGACTGAGCGTGGGCGAACAAGATCTTACTCAGCGCTCCGTAAGCGACGGTGACCAGGCTTCACGTGCAGACGCAAGCAGCTTGGTGCCTACGGCAGCAGCTAAAGACCGCGTCCGCTCAGCAAAACGTACTGGAGGTGGCCAAGTCGCAGTATTCGTTCTGGCACGTGCACCCTGGCGCGGAAATGCTGCTCTCTACAGATATCGTAATTGAGGATGAGACGACCGTTATTACACAGAGCCGTAGGCCCAGCCGAGACTAAGGCAAACGTTTGCGATATTTCTCTCCGTTCTGCTCAAGCGTGGTGGCACGTTCCGCACACTGCGCTCTGCGACAAAATGTACCACGCTCTAGCGCAGACGAGTTCCCTTTTCAATCGCGACGGTGTACCAGCGGTGGGATTTTTCTCGGGCTCACACGTAAGCACACAGGCGTAACCCACACCTATAGACACCTGCATTCACAAGAATGCGAAGGCCGGGCGAAATCTCCCAAGTTCATCAACCCACCCTGGTCAAGGATGTGAGGCAGAGCAGTTGCAGACCGCCGTAACAGCCTATAACGTAGAGGGAGGCCTTGTGGCTGCCGTTTGTCGGGAAGACCTGACGACTGTTACGGTTACACACCGCGACGGTTCAGGAACTTCCCTTCTTGAGTGCCGCACCTAAGCGCTGAACATTCTATATACGAGCGCGTTTCTTACGTAAAAGTTGTCTTGCCTGGTAAGTGTAGGCTCAGTAGCTGCGGAACGTTTCGCGGCCGCATTTCTCTAGCGGTACTTCTCGCTACTGAACTGCACAAACTGTTCCCACGTGCTGTTGACGTCTGGCCGGCTCTTCACTTGAACGGCTGCAGCCTACTCGCTGCGTACTCAGTTTCTTCTGCACCCGGCACACCGAATAACTCGCCGATTGGAGCTAATCACGTAGGGGGAGTCTGCATTTGTGAAAACATCGCACATTATAGCACTCATAGCTGTCTCCACGCCACTGAACCGGCGGGACCTACGCAGTCGACAACGTGAAGGTCCTACATATGTGCTGTCTGCTTGTGCATATACCTGAGAACATGTACATGTCGTATATATACGCTTTCTGCTCGTGTATACGCTTGAGTACAGGTACATGTCGCCTTGTATGTTGTAACAACGATGATCATCTGGTTCTCCGAGCAGCTGAACACAGAACCTGGCGTTCGGCGTCATGCTCCGAGGTGCGAGCGTACAAAAGCTCAACGTTGTAGCACACATGATTGGAGGTCTGGACGTTCTAAAAAACTGCAGATTATAGCAGCCATGGTTGTCCTCATGTCGTTCCATCGGCGGGACCTGCGCAGCCGACCATGGGGCAATTCTGGGTATACGCTGCTCGTGCATATGCTTGAGTACGTGGACGTGTCGCACCTGTGTACGTTCTAGGAAACACTTGCTCCGTTCTTAGACCAGCTGAACGCGAAGCCCGGCGTTTGGCTTCACCCGCAGAGATGGCACCGTAGAGACACGTTTCTTTTGAGCTCAGGAGTAGAGGCCCAGTTTTGTTAGCGGCGGTGTCGCCAGAGGCGTGTCCCATCGCAGTGGCGCGTCGGTTGTATGGTGCGACTATGGGAAGCGGTCGCTCTCTACAGGCAAGAGCCGTGTGCATCACTTTGTCCACATCTGGAAGACGTCAAACACGGTCGTGGACAACCCCTGTGGCCATTCGGGGCCTTGTATGAAAAGATGGAGCCGTCTGATCAGCTGAAAGCTGACAATTTTTTGAAGGAGCATACAAGAGAGGAGGTGCGAGCATATCCTGTACTACGCGTCAGGGTTGAGTACGCAACGACTACTCGACTTTACATACGGCATAGTTCCGCGTCTATGAGCCTCTTTCGCAATTTTGGACTGCACTGTTTTTCCATGCAGCCCGCTCGTCGGCCCGGACGGCCTCGTCCTGCCAGTGCTTGGCCGGAGTGCGGAGTCCGCCGCCGGGCGGCGCGTGACCCGCTGCCTACGGGCATGTCTCCCCGCTTGTAGAACCCAGTGTCCACTGTGACGTCAGCAACTAGAAATGATACATTCCTCTGCCGCCTGCTTTCTGGACGGCGACTGCGTTGGCTCGTGATAGTCGGCAGAAATCAAATTCCCGCGTGACGCCTACATTCTTGACTGCGACTGCGTTAGCAGGTAGTCATTAGCAAAAATCAAACACACAACTACCTCCTGCTCTTTTGACGGCGACTGCGTGGGCACCTTGCCATCAGCACGCTTATCGTCTTTGTTTACATGCTGACAGTTAATTGGTTAGCTAATCTTTTCTGTAGGGATTATTCTTGCTCGGCTGCCTCAGTTATGTGGACTGTGGCGTGTGAGTCAGACACAAAACTTGAATGAACGTTCTATTCGCGAGAACAGGCCGTTGAAATGTGCCTGTAGCACCTTTTAGGAAACAGGCGCGTCTCCCTGGTCGCTGTCGTCGTCTGTAGGGTCTCAAGTATTCGTGCGCTCACACGGCCGTCCGTCGCACATTCCGCGTCAGCGATGCTGGGTAATGCCATTGATACTACTACTACTATTGATACTACTACTACCCCTGTCGATACTGCTACTACTGCTGTTGCTAATAGTCTGCACGATCTCTGGATGGCAAGCCCTTCCGGGGTACCACGGTCTTCTGCAGTGCGTGCGGCTGCCCTGGATGAGGTCAAGGAGGGACGCAGTGCGCACTGCTCTGCATGCGTCGTGTGGGGAGAACCCCGATGTATATAGAAGGCAATCACTGCGAGCCAGCCAGTTACTAACAACCGCTGCCTGAAAGTTCTCGCTCTAACCGGCCGTGAAGGATAGGAAGGTCGCATAGCAGAGTTCTCCTTCGGTGTGTTTTCCACAACGGCCAAGCGTCTTCCGAGGTCGTGTCGCTTGCCTTCTTGGTCGTACGGCTTGGCCGTTTCTACAAGGTCACGTATATGGATCCACTACACACACAGGCGTCCCCGCATATGCACGGGATGCCAAGGGTAGACAGACAGGTAGGATGGCGGCCTTATGCTCGTGCATTCGGAGGAGTGGTGTTGTAGCAACGTCTTAATGTGAATCCACCCGCGTGCACGGCCCTGTCGGCTACAAGTGTGCGACACTGTGGGCTCTGCGTCTTCCAAATCTCCGTCGTCGGCGTGGTCTGTTGCGCCCTCGACTGTACTCTCGCCGTAACTCCGTCGCTTCATAGTTCTACACTTCTCTGCGGAGTCGTCGTCTCAGGTTTCGCGCGCTCGGTCGGCACTTGCACCATCCATCGTGCTGAATACACATGCGACGCGAAGGACACTGCGAAAGTGTCTCCTTGGCAGTCTCCTCTTCTCACACAGTGGACGCAGGGAATTGCAGGGAAACGTGTAAAAGGTAAATCCTTCTCACTTCCCAATTTCCTTCTTCATCCGGCAGTGGCCCGTCGTGCTTTCCCCCGCTTTTCTTCGTCGTATGCGTTGGGGTCGATGAGACCGCAGTGTCTAAAAAGTGTATCAGGCTTCCCCGTGCGCGACATTCCTTCATTCCCTCTGTCGTCCGTTCTCTACGCTTCCTCTTCCATTTCCCCAGCATTTGGTACGCCCTTTTCCGCCTACTTTTCGAAGGATCGCACAGCGACGCCATGCTTGCAGGGGTAGTCCCCAGGTCTTCACCACTTTGTTCGCTCTGAATCTGGCCCGCCGGTACGCATCTTTGCTTTACGCCTTCCGTCGTACATTCTCTAGTTCCTCTTACTTTCTTCCGCCACTCAATATGCGCTTTCTCGCTTGTTTCCCGGAAGTGAACATAGCGACGACACCGCGGTGTTGCTGATTCCCACGTCTCCGCCTTCTCTTCCTCAAGGGAAACAAGGCAGCACTCTTCTCCTCCACACGTGGTCCAGTGGCCTTCTCAAGGCAGGACTTCACTTTTAAAAAGGCCTCCGCTCCGTCTTCACCACCATCTCTCCTCAAGCTCTCATGGCTCACGTCCCGCCGTACGCGCTCTACGGCTCCGACGAACTATACAGACCCTCGCTTCACAAGGAATCCCTATTATTGCGGTATCTTTTCTCATAAGAAGGCTGCTTTCGGGCACAGGTCCATTAACCTGTACAGCCTCTGACAAAGCGCAGGACACCCGCTCTATACGAAATTCACCTGATTGCCACATCGTCTTTTATAAGAAAGGCGTTTTCCAGTGCGCCTCTAATAAAACATGCATACTCTGACGGAATGCGCAGACGCACGCTTTACGAGAAATTTTTCTGCCTGCGATCTCATGTTTTCTAAGAAGCCCGTTTGCCGATACATCACTGACGGAATGTACAAACGATGACGAAGAGTATAAATAGCCACTTTATAAGATTTTCCTCTCGCTGCGATATCCTGTTCTATAGGAAGGACGTTCTCCGGTACGTGTTTGATGAAATGCACACACACACGCTCTATAAGCAACGCTTGTAATTGAAATATTTTGGTCTACGAGAAGGCTCTTTTCCGGTACGCCTTTGATGAAGTGTGCAGACATTCTCTCGACGAATTTTCTCGAAATTCTTACGTCTCGGTCTGTAAGCAGGCCGTTTTGTGGTGCGCCTCTGATGAGGTGTACAGACATCCGCCTCATGCGTAATTCTTGCAATTCTCACACCTTGCTTTCTAGGAAGGCGGTTCGTTTGTAGGCCTCTGTA